CTGTATATGCCCCTGTCCAAAGCTCTGGGGATTTTAATCAAGAAAGGGCACTTGAAGCCCCTAGAGCCGCGGCCATTGCCGGAAAGACTTCCCCCTACCCATAACCTAGCCAAATATTGCGCATTTCACCAACAGCACGGTCACGACACCGACTAGTGCTACTGATTATGCCATGAGATTCAGGATCTCATTGATCATGGGATGATTGTGCCTCCTGAAAAACCCAACGTCACAACAAACCCTCTTCCACCACACAACCAAGCTCCACCTCCCAAAAGAATCAACTTTATCTAGACTGGGGTCGTGTCTTACGATCCTAGAATATATATCACCCCGTCCCACCTACCCAAGCCGGAGGTGCTCCTTCCTGACTGCACTAACTTGTGTATGTTGGACATCTCCAGAACCCAACTCGAACCAATGGTGGTGACTATCGAAGACAGAAGAGGGGAGATTTCAAAGGAGAATGGGATTGTTGAGCCAAAATCTGAGGAATCTGGGAGTTTTGTTGAGAAGATATACGGTCGGAGTGACTACATTTCGTCAGTAGGCCAGGATGGGCCAAATGTGGAATTGTCGACAGGGGCAGAGCTGTGTGTGATCCAAGGGGATGGATTTGGACAGAGGATAGATGATTTGACGGCTGTGGAAGAGGACCTTGCCAACCTCCAGTTTTTCAATGACCAAGATCCAGGGGACGCGGCAGTCAACTGGTTTGATTATGAGGAATCGGCAGAGGCTACCGGGTGGCTGGATGATCAACCGGATGTTGTGGAAGAGTCCCAACCAGAACAGGGCCCGGCAGGGGCAAGAATAACAGTGATGGCCGGAAGGGCCGGAAATCAGAATACATCGCCAGAGAGCGCCAGTGTCAAGAATTTCACTCAAGATTGGAGCATTTTGAATACAGGAATTATTGAACAGTCAGCTGTACTGACACAGTTGGAACAGGAAAGGTTTGAGGATTTTGAGAGAATCAGGAAAGCTAAAGCTCATGAGGGGACTGAAACTGCTATGTGCACAGAGACAGGGAATGCTACGAGCATATGGATGGAAGGTACTGCGAGTACGAGAACAGTCATACCGGAGTCGGACAGGTGTCTATCAGCTGCCGACAGAATGTGGTGGGAGGACGATGATTTATGTCTTGCCCACACAGATGAGGATTGGGGAAGTAAACAGCCAAACGATACCTGGTGCATCGGCGAAGTCGACCATATGACAAGGAGCGGGTAGTACTTCAAGCCCCCGCACCTAGATCAGCCAGAGGCGTCTGGGAAAGATAAGGAGGCTGAGAAACAGAAGGAGAAGCAACTTGAAGATGAGGCTGTGCTCAAACAGCTAAAAAAGATACAAGCAGACATCTCCATCTGGGGATTGCTTATGGCATCGCGAGTGCATCGACAAGCTGTCTTATCGGCCATGGACAAGGCCAAGCTCTCAATAGAAACCACGCCGGAGTAGCTGGTGGGACTAGTTTTTCAGAGGGGAGCTACCCCGATGTTAACTTTCTCCGACAAGGAATTGTCACCTAAGGGTGCGAATCACAACAAGCCACTCTACATCTCCGTGGAGTATAGAAATAAATGGATACCGGTGGTTCTTGTTGATACCGGATCCGCCATCAATGTCTGCCCGGCAAGGACAGCATATGCGATCGGTTTAAAGATCGTAGACTTTACGCTGACAGCCCAGGTGATTCGGGCATATGACAACATGAGCAAAGAAGTCATGGGGACAGTGAAAATTTAGACTAAGGTTGGGCCGGGACAACATGAGATAGACTTCCACGTCTTAGAAGTTCCTGCAACTTTCAATATGCTTTTGGGGCGGCCGTGGCTGAATCAGGTGAAGGCAGTGTCGTCCACCTTGCATCAGATGGTGAAATACCCCCATAGGAAGGGAGTAGCCATTGTTTTTGGAAATTCTTTGATCCATCCACCACCAGAAGTATCTACGCCAGTTTTGGAAATTGAGCACGGTATAGAGGATGTGTTCATGTCAGGTTTTACCTTAGCTGAGGCTCGAGTTGTGCAGAACATCATGGCTGCTAATGAGGGGGTATATGTCAGTGCTCAAGCAGTATACCTCATGAACAAGCTCTAACACATCCCCGGGATGGGATTAGGAAAGAGCGGCCGAAAGGGGAAGTATCTACGCCAGTTTTGGAAATTGAGCACGGTATAGAGGATGTGTTCATGTCAGGTTTTACCTTAGCTGAGGCTCGGGTTGTGCAGAACATCATGGCTACTAATGAGGGGGTATATGTCAGTGCTCAAGCAGTATACCTCATGAACAAGCTCCAACACATCCCCGGGATGGGATTGGGAAAGAGCGGTCGGAAGGGCGTTGCAGCGTTGGCTGAAGTGCCACACAACCCGCACACCTTTGGTTTGGGTTATCTGCCCACCAAAGAGGATTGGGTAAGGAAAGGTAAGGAGATGGTTGGGAGAACTAGAGCGAAACAGATGGGGAAGCCTTTTGAGTTAATGCACCGGCCCATCCAGGGTACCCTAAACGGATGCTTCGTCCGGGAGGGGGAGGACTTTCCATTTTGTGGCTTCCCAGTGCCGTGGCTGAATGCGGAGAGGAAGCGCGTGCCGGGATTCGAGATCTTCTTTGACCTACAGTTATCCGGGGATGATGTTGCCGAAGAGCAGACAGACCCAACAGTTGAGGTTAAGCAAAACAAGAAAGTGGAGTCTGAGGACGTCGAAAGTGAAATGGGGGTAGCACTGGCATGTCTACTTTCAGATCCTCCGATCGAACAGAAGTGCTTTAAAATGGGGATAGCGCTGGCATGTCTACTTTCAGATCCTCCAATCGAACGGAAGTGCTTGGGAGATAACTTCTCGATATGCATGATCGGGAATGAAACAGCTGCGGGCCTACTAGCAAACATTTTGGATGCATCCATTGCACCCTCTCTCATCTGGCAGTATGAAAAGGAATTTTTGTCCAGTAGCACCGGGTCAGGTAGTGAGCCGAAATCTGATTCCACCGAATCTTGTGAGTCGAAATCAGGTTCCAGCTCGACTGAGTTTGAGTCCGATATTCCTGGGGGTGATAACCCGGATGCCGCAATCTTGTCCAGGTCGTCTTTTTCTTTCTCTTTTGAGTCTGTTGTAACTGAAGAATCGGACGATTTGGATGTGCTTAATGAGAATGATGTGGCCGTGGTTTCTGAGTACTTTTCTGTGCCCTTGATTTATTTCATTAACTCAGACTTTCAAAATTTTGATGAAAATGACGAGGAAGAAATTCCTCCGATTTTGCAACGCTTAATTGAACAAGAGCAGGAGAGATTTGTTAAACCCCTAGTGGATGAAATCACTATTGTGAATATTGGTACTGAGAAGGACCCGCGGTTGGTCCAGATCGGGTCCACGTTGTCTTCGGAGGAACGCGAGCGCTTAGTCGCTTTATTAAAAGATTTCAAAGATGTTTTCGCATGGTCCTACGAAGACATGCCTGGAATCGATCCTGAGATTATACAGTACTGGATCCCTCTTGACCCCGAGGCCCGACCCATCAAGCAAAAACTCAGGAGAATCCGCCCCGGACTGGGCCCTTAAGATTAAGGAAGAGGTCACCAAGCAAATCGACGCAGGGTTCAACGATTCCAGTTTTGACCCATCACCTGTTGTGTTTCGGACTTGTGTTTACGGTTTCTGAATGTTGTTCATTGTTTTTTGCTCTTTATTCCTTTTCAAATTTGGTTTTTTGTGCATTTTGAGTGTGTTTAGAATAGGTTGGTTGCTTAGTTTTCAAACCTTGTGTTACCCAGAATTTTGGTCTTGCGCTCGAGAGGGGTTTGCAAACACTCAGTACTTTGCAAGTTTGAAAATACTGGAAGAGTGTTTTACACGCTCGAGCAACATTTTCCTACGCTCAAGTGGGTGGGCGCTCGAGCGTCCCTTCTTGCGTTCTAGATGTGTATATTCTGCGCTCAAGCGGGTCAAATTTTTGTGTCTGACGCTCGAGCGTAGACGTTGACGCTTGAGCGGACTGTACGTATATTAGGTCACGAAAGTGACATTTTATATTACTTTTTCATCCTTCTTTCTCTCTAAAACTTTCTAAAAACCTAAATCTTGACCCTCTCTCTCTCTACATTTTTGCCTAGATACTTTGATCTCTTCACCCTAGTACATTTGACAAAAAGTTGGAGCATCTCAAGATCTACATTTTGAACCGAATAAAGTTGGGTTTGAGCATCCTTGGAGTTCCTCCTTTGCTTTTCTTGTCTTCTTTGATTGAGGTAGGGATTTTCTACACTTGGTTATAATTTTTAACTTAGTTATTTGTGGTTGTGTAACAATGGTGAGATTTGGGAACATTTTGAGCCCAACCTAGGGTTTGGGTGAATTGTGAAAGAGGGGTTTTTGGTGGAAATGAAATAAGTGAACATGTGGTTTGAAAATGAAGTCATGTATGTCAAAATGGGTGATTTTGGTATTTAGATTGGTATTTTGGAAATAGGGATTTTTGCCTAAATTGATTGTCATGTCTATTTTGTATAAATAGTTGAAATTGGTATTGTAAATATGAAATGGAACGAATATTGGAATAGATGGTGGAATTGAGTATGTAATACTTACATCATTGGAAATTTTGGATAATTTATCTGTCTTGAGATTGTATATATGTTTACAAATATCTGTATTGGTCTATCGGTGGAGGATATCTTTGATTATTGTAGAAATTGCATCTGGATTAAGTGAATTGAAACTAATCTCTTGTTGGTTGTCTTTGAATATGACTATGATTATATACATTGTATATGTATGATTATTTGGGAGAAGAAAGAAGATGTACATCATGTATGTTTATGTGTTTATATACATTACATATGTATGATTGTTTGGGAGGAGAAAGGGGATAGACTCCATTATAATTAAGTTGGCCGGAAAAAGCCTTTTTTTTTTTTTTTTTTTTTGGATAAATAAACAAACTTTACTAAAAAAGCATCAAGACGATGCAAAGAATACAAGGACACTAGCAACCCAGATTGGACTACAAAAGCACGCTATCTAAGCAAATCCTCCACAAAATGTACAAAAGTCAACACATCAGGATCAACCGAACCAGAAACCCAACTATGCAATATCATAAGAAGCCTACTTTCTAACCAAAGAAAGGAATGGCACATGTTCTGAAACACACTCCTATTACGCTCCAACCAACCAACCACAACAAACAATGGCAAAAAACCGAATTTTTAATACTAACCTTTACCATGGTATCCCGCATAAAATCATATTCGAACCGTTTTAACTGAAGTTGAAGGACAGGGGGGAAGTCAATGAAAAGGACACCCTTCCTTGCATCCTGTGAAAGTCAATAATTATAACACGCCTTATGAGACACAACCATAGTATTGCATCCGGAATTGAGTCCAAAAAATAACAAACTACTACAGTAATGACAAAATGTACAACCTCATAACAATAAAAATTCAATACTTAATGAAGCATTTGGGGTTTGTTCGGACCAACATACAGTTGGTTGATATAGGTAAATCTTTCTTGCAATAATTTAATTTAGTTATAATTCAAATCACCAGTTTTAAAGCACCCAACCTGTAACCCAAATTGCTCAGCATGATACATGTTATCACCCTCAAGACGTTCCACCTCCACATACTTATCAAAAGAAGCATAAACATCATGACAACCCTTGACATCAAGCTGAAGATCTATACTTAAAAATAAATTTCAGTCAGTAAGGGCTAGAGATGCATCCTGAATAACACAGTGGTATAACCGTAAGCTAAAACACAAACCATAAAATGATTCCTTTCTTGTCGATTTGTAGTCCACATTGATGCATTCTATATAGCTCATGTGGTGTCCCTCAAATAACCGCTGTATTGTACCCTCCACAACAGTTCCCTGAGCCAGTAAAACCATAATAAAGTATAAACAACCTCCTAGAGCTAAACACAGATAATAAAGTCTATTGCGTGATCTACTACAGCTCTATACCTTCATTTTATCTTCAAGTTTTTCACAAAGAACTCTGTTGAGTTCTTGCACATCGTGCTGCATGAAACAATCATATGTATCCCATCCAAAAGATTTCGTCAACTCTTTCGTTGCTACACTAGTGTCGCTGTACCGAAGCTTGTAGAACAAACTCTGCGAAGCCAACGTGATGCTCCCTGACGGCATGTCATTCTCGGTTGTTGGCATATGATACACAGCCTGAACACAACGATCCAAATAAGGCACTTTTATGTTGTAAGATAAATTGATAGAGAGAATAAATTGTGTATATATTGATGTTATTGATATATTGAATGTTATACACGGTCTCCTTTATATAGGAGAAAATGGCCTAAGTGGTATACACACTATACAAAACAACATCATGGCCTAAAGGGAAGGTGGTCACCGAAAGGGGAAAGGGCCACCGAAAGGGGAAAGCATACACTAAGGAGACAACATTATTAAAGCTAGTTGGTATTTTACAGCTAATATATATATGCACTAACATATAATATATATACTAACAGCCCCCCTCAAATTCAAGGAGGATATGTACTAACCAACTTGAGTTTGGAGAGAGTAACAAAACAGGAAAGTAAACTGATAAATAAAATAAAATAAGATAGGAGACACTGTATGGTTGTGTCAAATCGTTGTTGAAAACACGGTATGGTCGTGTCACACCGTTGGAGAAGACACTGTATGATCGTGTTTGAACCGTTGGAGAAGACACTGTATGGTCGTGTCTGAACCGTTGTAGCAGATAATGTCTGGACAATTTACGAGGTCATACTGGACCGATGTAGAAGCTAACCGGAATCAATGTTGGGACAGTTTACGGGGTCATGCCGGACCGTTGTAGAAGCTGACCGGAATCAATGTCGGGACAGTTTACTGGGTCATGCCGGACCGATGTAGAAACTGACCGGAATCAATGTCGGGACAGTTTACGGGGTCATGCCGGACCGTTGTAGAAGCTGACCGGAATCAATGTCGGGACAGTTTACAAGGTCATGCCGGACCGTTGTAGAAGCTGACCGGAATCAATGTCGGGACAGTTTATGGGATCATGCCGGACCGTTGTAGAAGAATTTGGTGGTGCACCAAGGTGGCGACTTAAGGAGTGCGCCATGAGGTGGCTTGAGTGGTTCCCATGGTGTATAACCATGCTCACCAGGGTGAGTGGTTCGCATGGTGTGTAACCATGCTCACCATGATATATGTATAACCCCCCCTCAAACTCAAATTGGTGTGAAGATAGAAACCTATTTGAGGTTGAAACAAAGGGATTAATAAAGGGGAGTAAAACAGCTCAACACAGAGTGAAGATGTTTTAAAAAAAAATGGTAGAAATGGTTTTTTTTTGTTTTTTTTTATTTTTTTAATTTTTTTTTTATTTTCATTTTCGGTTGTGTGGAACAAATAGTGGAATGGAGTAATTTTTTTTTTTTGGTTGAACAAATTTTTTACATCTTTGTTCAAATATGCAAGAATTTGAACAGATATGTAACAAATTTGTTCCAAAAATTGAATAGATATGTAAAATTTTGAACAGATGCTAAAGAGAAATATTAAAAGAGAGTGGTGGAAAGAAAAGTTTAAAAGAAATGATGGGAAAGAAAAATAAATGTGGGTATTTAAAAAAGTGTAAAAGTAGTTTGAAGAAAACAAATAAAAATAATTGATTTTGAAATCAAATGTGATAGGAGGAGAGAGAGGGGACAAGCCCATGTGATAAAGTGGAGAGAGAGCTGGGTATGCATATGAGCATCTTTTGTGCTGGTGGAGATTGGTTTAAAAATAAAAAAAAAAGGGTATGGGTGTGCAAAAGTGAGTGGAGACAGGTTGAGTGGGTCGAACATGGAGGAAATGGGGTGGTGGTGGTGGTGACTTTGTTGACCAACCATGTCCAAAGCGCCGAGCAACACAACCAAGATGTGAACTCTTTGGGCTTAATCTCTTCAAGAAAAACAGCTGAAGCTATTGACATACTAAAGCTCATGTCTTCCACTTACTTGGTAGCCCTATGCCAAGCCATAGACTTGAGGCACTTGGAAGAAAACAGTGGTGGATCGTGAACACGTCTTCACATACATCGATGATCCGTGCAGCAGTACTTACCCATTGATGCAAAAGCTGAGGCAAGTCCTAGATGAGCACGCTTGGAAGAATGGCAACATGGAACAGGACTCGAACACTTCTATTTTCCAAAAGAGTTGCGCTGCTATATCTGGAGCTTCCTTCCAGTGTCTTAATGGCTGAAGCGGTTCAGCCTTTGACAGAAAGCAGCAAAGCAGTTCCTTGCTGCCCGTTACAAGGACATAACCAAGTTCCATGACGAGGTTTATGAACTTGCCCCTTGCTGGAATTGAAGCAGTTTTGTCTAGTGATGATCTCCAGGTGGCATCAGAAGATGCCGTATATGATTTCGTGTTGAAGTGCTCCAGAAAATGCTCTTTGCAAAAACAACTCGTTTGGCCCTTCTTTGGTGAGTAATTGCCACAAATGATGAGCATGGTCTTGCTGCTGCTGCTGCAAATGTAGCTGCCATGGCCATGAGGGAGAGGGATCATGTCTGATGCAGAGGATCAAAGCCATTCAGATCGTAACGATCATGACGAGAGTTGCTATGATGTTGTTGGTATGGATCATTTCCTGTGAGCCTCTTGCTGGAGTTGATGGAGGTTTCAATTGGTTGAGATCCGGTGGGCGGTCAAGGCAAGGTTGCCGCCCGCCGGAAGGCGAAGAACACCAAGATCTTTAACCTATAGCTCCGATACCATGTAAGATAAATTGATAGAGAGAGAATAAATTGTGTATATATTGATGTTATTGATATATTAAATGTTATACACGGTCTCCTTTATATAGAAGAAAATGGCCTAAGTTGTATACACACTATACAAAACAACATCAAGGCCTAAAGGGAAGGTGGTCACCGAAAGGGGAAAGGGCCACCGAAAGGGGAAAGCATACACTAAGGAGACAACATTATTAAAGCTAGTTGGTATTTTACAGCTAATATATATATGCACTAACATATAATACATATACTAACATATGTAAATTGAAAATCAATCAGAAAAGTTGAATGAATATGCAAACCTTTTTGAAATAAGGAATATGGTACAATGTCTGGAGAAGAGTGTTCATGTAACCAGTAGCTCCTTGGTTTTTAAGTCCAACATAACCAGTTTTTTTTTTTTTTGAGTCATGTGCCCAGTAATCAACAACCCTATGGACAGCAACATCAGCTTCAACTACAATAGTATCATTCACCAGATAACCTCTAGCAGGGTCATATAGTTGGCCAAGAGGCATGAAAGAAGGGAAACCCCAATCACTTTCTCGTGCATTAAACTGGTGTTGTGTGTCTGTAGGATAAAAAGCATCAAAATTAGCACCAAACTAGTAATTCTACTACATGAAGTGAAAGGCTAAAAACTTTCAATTTATAAAACAAAGACGTATAAGATAAGGGAGTTTGCACAAAATTTCAACTGCTTAACACTATCACCCTAAATCTTCTACAAAACAAGTGGTTGACCACTACAAAACTTTCTTGGCCCAATAATATTTTCTGAGGCCGAGGTACAAACCAACCCAGGTTCCAACAGCATTGGGCTAGGCCACTAGGGGTTTACTCATTGGTTGTTGGGCGGTTTTATCAGCCCAACACTACACTCCCCCATTATCGTTAACATCCACAGGTGGTCCAACCTCCATATTTGAAGGCTTTAATGGGCCTTAAAATTTTGAGCAGACGCTAAAGTAGACCTCATCTTGACTTAGGTACAACCCTCTCTGACCATTTGCCCAAAGATCTTTACCATTTTACAACTCAACAGCAAGTCTGGCCCAGCTTCAGAGTTCTTCAATGGACACATGACCCAATCCCTTCCCTACTTTTCCGCCTAACTGCACCCCACTCACGATTTACAAAGACACGCAATCCCTATATGTTAAACCACAGACCAATCTACGACCACGCACCATCAGCCGAAAACCTAGAGTCAAGAGCCTCTCCTTGCAAGGCCGTTCTTGCGTTCGTCCTTACAGGCTTTCGGGTCTACTTTTAGGTCCAATTTTGATAATCTGAACCGTTCATATTTTATGATTTATTTAGTATATCATACCTGTAAAAAATCAAGTTGATCGGATATCAGAAAGCATGTGTTCGAAAAATTGAACTAAACACTATTTTTGAAAGAATTTAATAAACAGTTTTCCAAACACATACTTTTTGATATCCGATCAACTTGATTTTTTACAGGTATGATATACTGAATAAATCATAAAATATGAACGGTTCGGATTATACTTTTCCGCCTAACTGCACCCCACTCACGATTTACAAAGACACGCAATCCCTATATGCTAAACCACAGACCAATCTACTAGCACGCACCATCAGCCGAAAACCTCCACATTTCATCTCCATCCCCATCATCGGCGACACTTGACTTATCATCATTTGCGCATCCTTCACCTTGTACATCCCACTGAAGTCTCAAATCAACCCACTCTAACCCAGCTACATCTCTAGAACCAATCCCACACCAATAAACGTCACCAACAATCTAATACAAATGCATAAGATCTTAATGATTGATATTTAGAGGAGAACGAAAAAGGTATCCCTAATTAGTATTGAATGTGTTAAGGATGCAGCAACATGACGTGCTATCCAGCAAATCATTATCCAGTGGAATGGAGATCTTGGTTGTTATCTTGGATTGCTTTGGGGTCTTTTGTGCCTAAAAAAGAGAGTGATTGAAAGAGACTATTCTTTAGATGTATTAATGTATTTACTTTATACGATTTTCCATATAAAGCCTGATGAACAAAGTCCCCAACCAATGACCCATTTCATAAGAAGCTGATTTGTCTAGCACACCTTTAATAGTGTCCTTAACATTTTTCTCTTTTTTCCATACCATGCGACCTTTAATGACATCAACTTTAGAGAAATCTGCCGCTTATCTTAGATTGGTTTATGTAAAATTTTAGAATATGTATTCAAAAAATTAAATTATAATAACAAAAAACTAAAATAAAACCAGAAGATTTTAATAATGAAATTGAAAGTTTATAAAGATGGGGGGGGGGGGAAGCTCACCTTAAACTGAAAAAAATAAACAGACTTATCGAGATTGGGATTGAGAGAGCATGATTGCAACTAAAAATAGGAAATTGAAAAGTAAAAAGGAAAAACATAAATAATGTAAAAAAACAGTGAAAGAAGACAAAAAATAAGTTCTCACATGAGAAAAGCAATCAAGAAAAGTATATGAATACTTTATTTTCACGTCCCAATGACCTAGTACACGAAAATCATCCATATATGCTCTAGCTTTGATTTAACAATAAGAAGACACAGTCGAATATAAATAACTCGATATGATCCAAAACTTTGTTTACCACCATGTGATTCGCTTCCATGCATGGGTTTATTGTGAAAAGGAAACTTCAGGTATATTAATTGTATACTTCAGGAGAATCAAAAAGATAACTAGTCGCAAAAAGATAACTAGTCGCAAAAGATAACTAGTCGCAAATTTAGTCGGCAAATATGACTTTTCGCGACTAAAATGTTTTAGCTACTAAATGGATTAGTCGCAGTAATTATATATTTAGCGACCAAAAATTTAGTCGGCAAATATGACTTTTTTGCGACTAAAAAACTTTTTAGTCGCTAATTACTTTCCGCGACCCTCAATTGGCGACCAAGGTGGCGACCAAAAAATTAGTCGCGGATGACTTTTGCCGACTAAAAATGGACTTTTGCCGACTAAATTTTTAGTCGGCAAAAGTGTTAATTCTTGTAGTGAATAGTGGAGACAACCCACAAAACAAAGCCAAACGTCCATCAATTTTTTTGCTAAGTTCTTTATAGATATTCAACAAGCTAAAGAGCACGAACATACAGATAAATCGATATATGAATAAAGCATTATACACCTTAGATGCAAACAAAACATGATAATAAATGCAGATAGAGGGAGAGATTTTAATCCAAAAGTTATTGTATATGTACATAAGTAGCACGGACAAGCTACAAGACACATCACGCGACACGTGTCCTCAACTTGTCACATCCTCCCCCGCGTCCGACACATGTCAAACAGTGGTATGTGACCTCCGGAGAGGTGTCTGTGCTTCATAGATATGCACCCATGGAAATGATACAATATCTCACATGCTTCTCAGTTTTCTGGTTGATATATTTTTATTTTTTTGATAAATTTTTCTGGTCGATATATATTATAAATTGGTCATATTGGGATGAATATTTTAACATAGTAGTACAAAAGTTTAGAAATAAATTGGTACTATAATATTTTAGTTTCTTCACTGTCTGTTATATGCTATGTTTTAAGGGGGAAATCGTAATAGCTTATATTTTACCAATAGAAATACGAACAAGCTAGAGGAGAAAAAGACCTACTACAAAGCAATCTATATTTCACTTATTTTCTTCAATGCCAACAATTGGAATAGGCAACCAATATCCATAGTTGTATCCAATTCACATTTTTCACGTATCAATAATTTGAATTTTTGCAATTGTTACCGAGTGAAAAGTACAGCATTTTATTTCTTCGAGCCAACCTTGTAATACCTAAGCATTTCCAGACCACTACAGTATAATTTAATTCACAAAGGCATCAAAGCATACTAATTCCATCGACTCCAATCCACTAGTAATGGAAATTTCTCATGGGAACCATTCCACAAATTTTGACAGTTTGCTTGGGCCTGTTAAATTCATGCAATAGAAAACATTTTCATGATAAGAAGTAAATTTAACATATTAAAAGTCAAGTATTTTACATTTTTCTTCCACGCCATATGCGTAAATACATACGATACATGCATAAAAAAATACATACAAATGTATATAAAGCTCTAACAACTCCTTATCCCATTCTAGACCTCGAAAATACACATTCAAATACATTATAGAGTTGGAAGGCAATCGCTTTGATTATCAGTTGCTCCCACCCCTCAGCGACTAATGCAGCCCTCACCAATGTGAGTGACTAAACACCACATACATATATAAAAGATATATGGTACACACACATACAATTATGAAAGTCCATTCAATTCTGTACTTAAAAATGAATTGCTCTTCCAGGATAGGAATCTACTAAAGAAATATCTAATTGGAAAGATAATTAACCATACACAACAGTTATAATAATTAACCATACACAATAGTTATAATATAGAAGCCAAATCACTAACTACACTTACATGGTAACAAAGTAAAAAAAGACAGAAACTTAAAATGTAAGTCCCGTGTATGTTTAACCAGGATAGGCAATGTATAAGCACCATAAAATATGTACCTTTCCTTACTGTAAACTTGTTATTGATTTGATTGACCACAGCTAAACTGAATTGGGCAACGATCTTGTGATTGTAATGCAGCAATGAATCATGTTAAAGAACATACACATAAATATGAACTTAAACATCCCAATGCCACATATATAGCGTCTCCTCACCAAACATGCCCCAATTCCAAGACCCATTCCCACAGAGAAAGAGAGAGAGAGGGAGAGAGAGATGTCATCTAGTGACAAAAATGCAGTTGCATCATCTACAAAACTATATTTCATTGAACTAACTAATACACTCCAAAAACAAGCATACAATGCCCCTCCCCTCCCATCTTAAAATAGTTTCCCAAACCTAACTTCTCCAATGAAAAAAACAAAGCAATGGCTTTAAGCCCCAATCACAAAGAAGGGCCATATTTTATACAACCTCCAGTCTCGTTTCCAAAATGTTAGTCCTATCCTATCAAGTAAAAAAAGTGTGTAATTTTTCAAATTTATCCCTTGTAAGTGAACTATAAATATATTTTAAAATGAGAGTAAAAAGTTATTGTTAGAATTAGTGTTTTTAAATTTGATTTAAGTGCAATAATTTCATGTTACCTTAGAAGTTACAAGTCTAAAAGGGCCTAACAAAATGGGAAGCAGAGGGAGTATACTATTAGCTAAGGCATGGGACCAAAAAAAAGTGTAATAAGCCCTAGAAGATATATATAAAGGCACTGCCTTGGCTTTCTGATCTTTCCCAGGTGCAGGGTTGGGAATAGGAGGAACTGTTCTGGCATGACGAGGCCTATCCCGATTTTCTGACTGACTTGAACTACCCTCAGGTGGAGTGGGGAAAGCATCCTCCACAGTTTTTGCCACAACTGCGGATATCTGTTGCTTGTTCATCCCCCCGGCTTTCAAAGCCTCGACTGCCCACAGTAGTTGTTCAATGGGATCGGCATCTACCTTCATTTTGTTCTTGCCTCTGGCCTCAGCCTGATCGGGGGTTTGGGTTACTACATCAGAGCGAAGCCCGGTTGTTGCTGACACGTCGTTGCTGTAGCTGGCGGCAACCTCTGGTTGGCTAAGCTCTATTACAATCCGCCCCAGTAGCGGGGGCTCCTGTGGCATGAAATTCCCGGCATACGGTGCCGCTGGCGGTGAAGCCGACATTCCACCTTTGCTAGTGCGTCTAGTAAGAATGCTCAGACTTCAAAATACCTGCCCCGAGGGCGCAGGACCTTTCATGCTCTCTATATGCCTCTGTCTAAGGCACTTCAGATTCTTGCCGAAAGGAGGCACCTCAAACCCCTTGAACCTCGGCCTCTCCCGAAGAATCTCCCTCTCACACACGATGCTACTTTGTACTGCGCGTACCACCAACAGACCGGTCACGCCACCGACAACTGTTTCCGTCTTCGCCATGAAGTGCAGGATCTGATCGATAATGAGGTCATTCTTCCACCTACCTCGGCGAAGTCTGTTACCACCGAGCTGTTGGACTTTGAGGATACTGCGAGTATGTGATCAGGGGTTGAACCACCTGCGGGCGG